TGTAAAGAAGAAGAGTTTTCTTGGTCCAACTACCTAAAAATCACCAGATCACAAGCCGCACCGAAAGAGTTGTTTTCTGGCTCAATCAAAGTAAGTCATAAAACCGTTGATTGAATCTCTATTGCAATTTCCTACTAAACCAAGAACGGTCTGAACAAAGGCCTTGTTTTCTCATTGTGCAGTCTGAGACAGACTGTGGGTTTGAGGTGGGGATGAAGTTGGAGGCTGTCGACCGCATGAATCCCTCTCTCATCTGTGTTGCAACAGTAACAGACAAAGTGGGCAACCGTTTTCTGGTTCATTTTGATAACTGGGATGACACGTATGACTACTGGTGAGTTACAACGACTCCTCAAGTCTTTGGGCCCTATTTTACCGATCGGTAACACTTTAGAATACGGTTCCTTCGTTAATGAATAACTACACAAGAACCAATGAGTAACACAATATTAACAATCTAGTAACTATTATTAACTAACAAGAAACTCTGATTAACAAACTAGTAAGTAATAGCGCACACACAGATGAAAGTGGTACTTCATACTTATATGGGAATTACTAATTATTTGGATCCGTATTCTAAAGTGAAGATCCTGGGAACTAACTAGTAATGACTCGAGTGTTACTACATGATCTAGTCATGATTTGTGCAACCAAACACAAAAGTAATTTCAAGCGTTTGAGATTTTTGGTGAACTTTTAAATAGTATACTTTTAGATAATTTCTTTAGAAGTATGTAGTAACACTTGAGTCATTACTAGTTACACACACACACACACACACACATATATGAGCTAGGAGACATACATAAAAACATATTTTTTGGGGGGGTAGGTCAAACATTAAAATAACTGTATATGGTATTTGGGTGGCTGAGGACTCAATATGTTTCAGTACTCACCGTGACTCGAGTGATTCAATGCCAGTCCAGAGGAATGCCGGAAAATTGCCCACAGGACAAGTAAGGTCCCGACAACTGCATTTAAAAATCCATTTCTTTAAAATTATTCAGTTGATAAATAGACAGCATAAGCCAATTATTAACAGCTTTCCCAAATCATAAGTCTGCTATGCTATTACATATTGATAATGTAAACCACCTTGTGTATTCGTTTACAGTAGCAGTTAACATGTTAATGTAGTGCTAGTCATTTGTCCTGAATTGGTTATTTATTAGTTTTGCATTAATTATGAAACTTTTTCAGTAGTTCTCTGGGAAGTTAGTTAATTAACTAATAATATTGATTAGTTAATAGTAAAGTACCACTTTCATCTGTGCGCTATTACTTACTTGTTCGTTAATCAGAGTTTCTTGTTAGTTAATAATAGTTACTAGATTGTTAATATTGTGTTACTCATTGGTTCTTGTGTAGTTATTCATTAACGAAGGAACCGTATTCTAAAGTGTTACCTACCGATCTAAGCGCATGGTCTAAAGAGCACGGCACAAGTGCACTTATGGCGTGTCCGAATCAACTTTTGCTAGTTTAACGACGGGGAAAATGTTCGGTGCTCCCGGCGCATGGTCTAAAAGTGTTGTCTCTTTTCTCTCAATTAGTAATGGGTGTGTTTTGGGCGTAACGTGCAATAAACCAATCAGTCTCATCTCCCGCAACTGGCGAATCATGGCGGATTCGCTATTTACATGGCGGAATTTGCAAGCGGAAAGACTGAACGCTTCTCTAGCGAGGAAACGGATCTGCTCGTGCGCGAGGTTAAAGCGCAAGCAGACCATCTACGGGACAACGTGTGTTGTGGACCCGCCTATAGGCGCACATTACTAGCGCGCTCTTTAAATAACAAAAAGAAAATACTGCGCTATTGACTTTAGACCAGGTTTTTGTTGGTCAATGGCTCAGTCTATTTCAGTTTCCTTAAAATAGCAACGCGTCAACAATGGGCCTGAACACACCTCGTTTTCAGACCAGCAGACCATGGGATACAGATGGGCACAAATGCATTTGCTCTTTAAACAACGTGGTGGAGGACGTGAAAATGGTTACTGCGTCAGGCTGAAACTAGAAAAAAAACTTGCGTCGCTGCATTGCGCCGGGTGTATGATTGGGCCCAAGATATGATAGTCCTGTGTGAAATGAATAGTTTTGTTATTCAAAATGAAGTAGTAATATTTTGAGTTTCCTCATGTCGTAGGTGTGATGCCCGCAGCCCGTACATTCATCCCACTGGCTGGTGTCATGAGAGAAGCCTCCCCCTGACGCCTCCACAGGGTAACTCAGAGACATCACACCCATCATATCCATTACACCCATCACACCCATCATCCATTGTGAGATGTAAATGTCTTTGTTACAAAAAGGCAGAAAATTATGTAAGCTGCATTAATGTCTCAGTGTTAGGGTTAGGGATGTACAATTTGTTTCACAATAGTAATGTTTTTACTGTTTGTTTGAAGCATAAGAGACTTCTTTCATAAACATAACAAATCTTACCGACCCCAATCTTTTAACCTGTAATACTCAAGTCTGCTTACTTTTTATATAACACTGGCTCAATGTGTTCTTCTCCCGGCAGATTATCCTGACCCTGACAGGTTCTCGTGGGAGAGATATTTGGAAGAGACGGGCTCAACAGCGGTCGCTGCTGAAGCATTCAGAGTGGTGTGTTACATCTCTCAATCCTTTAAAATAGTATCAAATGATCTTTGGTTTAGATCTATGCCAGTCAATAACTGAAAGGGCTCATGACATGAGAAATCAGGTTTGCCTTTAGTGCTCACTTCTGGCCCGAGATCTTCCTCTCCACTCACCGCCGTTGCCAGCATCACTGACTCCGCCTCGCTCTATTTTTAGGAGGTAAGGTGGTCAATTTGATGTGCCCCATTCCTGTATGTTCGAATTACCTCCTAATTGAGATCCCCAACTCGTCGTGTGACCTCAAAGGGTCCTTGCCACTTGGCGAGTAATTTTGAACTAGAAGTTGGGAGCAATACAAGTACTCCCAGTGCAAATTCACGCAATCTTGTTCCCCTGTCATATAACTGGCTCTGTTTGTCCTGGGCCTGTTACAAATTCTCCGTAGAGAGCCGCCCAAAAGTGTGGAGTTTTGTTCTCAGGTCCAGCACATACGGAATTTCACTTCTGCTCTCTGAAGGTCCGTCCTCCCAAGCCTCTCTCTGGATCAGTCACCAGTGGTCCCGGCTCAGCTTCTCCCGCCTGAACGACCGCCCCCTTTCCCCGCTCTCCCGATTTCCAAGAGACATCCACACATAAATGCCCCAATAACTGACTTAAAGTGGGCCAGTTTGTCCCCAAAATTAGCAGATGTCTGAGGTGCGGGCTAACTCCGACCTCCACACTATGCTTTTGCCCCTGAAATTGAATAACAGCCAACATTAAGGGATAATTCCCCACATCCCCAAGCACACACCACACCTTAACCATGCAGCTCTTATCCAATGCCTCCGGTTGTATCAGGCTTTGATGGATGGAGGTTTGGTTGCATCCTGAATCCACCAAAGCCGGATAGGTATCCCCCTTAATACTCACGGGTATTTGGTACAACCTAGCTTGATCGGGGGCAGCCTTTGGGGTGTCCGGAACCCGGATCAATGTCCCGACCTCCATTATCAGACACAATCTACAAAGTCTCTTAGACTTCCCCGCCGCCCTAGTGGCAGAAAGAGGTCAAGGAATTGTCATGGAGAGAGCGGAGGAACCGAAGCTGAGGTTGGACTCGGCTGGCCCAATCCAGCCCCTCTCCGCAGGCCCACTCCTGGCCCACTCCTCCATTTGGGCTGACCACGAGATGGGAACTGCCCTCTGGTTCTTGGTGCAGGAACCGGCCTATATGGAGAGGGAGAGAGAAGGGAAGGGAGAGAGAGAGAGACAGAAGGTAGAGTTTTGCCGACCCCAGGGCACGCCACCATCTGGTCCTCCGCCAATTAGATGGCCTGGTCCAGCGACGCCGGGCGGTGGCACTGGACCCATTGCACGGTCTTCTTTGGCAGCCGCGAAATAAACTACTCCAGCACTACTTTGTCAATAATTTGCTCGACGTCGCTTCCCTCGGCCATCAGCCATCTGGAGCTGTTGAGCCATCACGAAGGGTCGGCCCGTTGAAGGATGGCTCGTCTCAGGTCGTCGTAGACCAGGAGGTTCTGAACTGGCAGCTGCTGTGCATCTATCTGCGCCACTCCAGACAGTAATGGAATGAGGCGCACCGGCCAGTTCAATCGAGGCCATCCACATGCCTCGGCGGACCTTTCAAAGAGGTCAAGAAAGGCCTCCGGGTCGTCCTGCGGACCCATTTTGTTGAGGGGCACGTGAGTGGGCGGGGGCGGAACAGATGGTGTTTCCACGGCCCGAACCTCCCGGTCCATCCAGCTCCGGAACAGCTCGCAGGACCTGGTCGTCGCTCATGTCCTGCAGCTCCTGATGATGTTCTTGATGCAGTCTGAATAACCTCCGCAAATGGCGAAACTGACGGGGATTGTATGATAGCGGTGGCGGATTGTATGATAGCGGTGGCGGTGGCGGATCTTCTTCCTCCCGGGTTTCGGCACCAGTGTGATGATTTCAGTGTGAGGAAGGAAGGAGATGGGGTCAGCTGACTGAGACTTGTGCGTTCTAATAAAAAATTCGAAGAAATCACAAACAAAAGGTTGCGAATAAACTCTTTCACTGCAGCACTTGGGTTTCCAGTCACTCAGTTCTCAGACATGCACGAAGTCCCAGTCCAGTCTCTCTCTCAGTCTGTATCCATTTCCGGTTGTTATCCTGTCTCTCCATGCCAATTACTGAAACAAGACACAGGTGTTTGTCATTTGCACTTGACCTACTTACGCACCACTCGTCTCCTGCCTCTCTTTCTCCTCGCTGAACCACGCCCCCCTCGCCACAGTGAACCTCCAGGAATATATTCAAATAATTAAAAAGAAAACTCTATGTCATGACCCCTTTAATTGTTAGGTTAGTAAGACTTGATGAAATCTAAAAAAAAAATCTGATTGAAACTATCGTATTCTGTTACAAAATATACTGATAACTGTATTTAAACTATTTCCTTCAGCAAAATAAAGCCAGGCTTAGGATTGCATTGGAAAGCTGATTTCTCTTGTATGTTTGCGTAGCGTCCTTCCCACAGCTTCCAGTTGCAGATGAAGCTGGAGGCGGTGGATAAGAGGTGTCCGGGCCTGATCCGCGTGGCTACGGTGGAGGAAGTGGACACTTACAGAATAAAGGTGTGTGAGAAGCTGCCAGCTTACAGCTATGCTGCTGTAATCAAATAACTAAAGTTAATCTAGGACATTATCGTTTTTTCATTTAATGTCTCATAAAAACCCAGTAGAAATACACACTCCCGTTGAGAAGTTTGGGGTCAGTAAGATTTTTTACGATTGTAAAAGAAGTCTTTTTGCTCATCAAAGCATTTATTTGATCAGAAATACGGTAAAAAAAAAGTAAAAGATTATTACAATTAAAATAACAATTTTCTATGTGAATACTGTATATAGTATAATGTAATGTATTCCTGTGATCAAAGCTGTATTTTCAGCATCATTACTCCAGTCTTCAGTGTCACATGATCCTTCAGAAATCATTTTAATATGATGATCTGATGCTCAAGAAACATTTATGATTTTTATCAATGTTGAAAACAGTTGTGCTGCTTCATATTTTTGTGGAAACCATTTTTCCCAGGATTCTTTGATCAATAGAAAGTTCAAAAGAACAGCATTTATTTGAAAAAGAAATGTCTTTACTGTCATTGCTGATCAAATGAATGCATCCTTGCTGAATAAAAAGAAACATTTATTTAAAAAAAAATCTTACTGACCCTTGACTTATAAATGGCAATTTATGTCAACCAAATGACTATTTAAAGTATGAAAAATATAAGTTAAAAGAGTAAATAAGTTTTGCTGAAGCATTGCCTATCAACACACCAACAAATTGTAACATTTGTGCTAACAGAGCATGTAATGCCACATGACATTCATTTATAGTGGTACTCACGCTAACAACTCACTGAATCACACTCCAGAATATCTTTATTATTACTTTTTACATCAGAAATATTACACATTCTCTACACAAGGTTTTTGAGAGGCCAAATTGAGTCCAATAGTAGGACATGTTTCCAGAGAATATATCCACCTTTTTCCTAAGCTCCATGGGGCTTTGCGCGCATTATGTGTGTAACTTCCATTAAACAGTAAACAACCAGCGAAAGCTTCACTCTATGAACGCAGTAATAAGCTTCTTTTTTTAAAACTGGGTACAATGAGATGACATTATTCTTACATTCGAACATTAAAAGGACATGTAAACATTAAAAGCAATAACCAATTACTTCCACAGACCATGAATAACCCCTGAATGTTTCCGCAGCAATAATTACTGATGCGTAAATAGGCCTATCACTGTAGTAATATATGTCTCTTTTATGTAACATGTTGACTTAATCAAAAATTCTTATTAACTGGAACATTGATTGATAATATTTCAAAGTGATTTCTGTCATTTTGATAGAAACATTCCAGTAAACATTGCTAACAGGGATTTGTCACGGAATTGTCAGAACTGAGACGAGGATTCAAATGCAGAGGAAATTTATTAGTGACAGGTAGATAAGGTACAAACTCAAAAAGCACTGTGAGCAAGCGGGAAGGAAACACAAGGAACAGGTAACTTGGACAAACGAACCAGCACAGGACTACAAACACAGGGAGGCTAAATAGGGGAACAGACAAAGGAGGGTAATGAGAAGGACAGGTGGGACAAATTAACCAATAATCAGATAACAAGATGGGAGGGGCTAGACAATAGACAGGAGTACATGGCACAAAGGAAACACATGACAAGCCATGTGCTCACAATAAACAGAACTAGAACACAGGCACATGACAAACCGGACACTGTGGCAGGATTAGATGTGAAAATGGCCGACAATGACATTTTAAAGCATTTAAGTGAAAACAAACCTGGAAAGAGACGTGAGGATTTGGGGAGAAAAACAAGAGATTCTTAGTGCATTGCAGTGAATTATTCATGGGATATCATAAATAAAGTCTGCAGAGCAGACCACAAATGTTGTCTTTTATCATACTGCTATACAGCAAAGAGAAAAAAATAATAATCAGGAGACTATTTGCGATTAAAACGAGCTCTTGCCTCAGATATTCTTGTTATACCACGTCACATTAAAACACCATGCGTTAGTTATTCTCTTCTGAACATGAGAACATGAAGGAACGTTTACAGCTCATTCAGTCAAACGGACAGATAAGGCACAACCTTATGATGTCAAATGATTTGTTTCAGTCTTTTTGAGTGGGACTTCCTCAAACCGGAAGGCTTGAAGACCGCAGTAGTGTAAAGGTGGATATTTTTAAGCTTGTTTCTCTTACCAAACTGACAAATAGTTTTTCACTACATTTTGTTGCTGGATTTAAAAAAAAAAAAAAAGTGTAATGTGCACATTATTCTTTTAAAACTACATAACAGGAAAACAAGAGAAAATGATTGATTAAAAAAAAATATTTTTATTTTTTTAGTGCTGGGCAACATCCAAAACTAAAGTTTGTGTTTACATAATATATGTGTGTGTTCTGTGTATAATTATTTTGTATACACTTACCTAAAGGATTATTAGGAACACCATACTAATACTGTGTTTGACCCCCTTTCGCCTTCAGAACTGCCTTAATTCTACGTGGCATTGATTCAACAAGGTGCTGAAAGCATTCTTTAGAAATGTTGGCCCATATTGATAGGATAGCATCTTGCAGTTGATGGAGATTTGTGGGATGCACATCCAGGGCACGAAGCTCCCGTTCCACCACATCCCAAAGATGCTCTATTGGGTCGAGATCTGGTGACTGTGGGGGCCATTTTAGTACAGTGAACTCATTGCCATGTTCAAGAAACCAATTTGAAATGATTCGAGCTTTGTGACATGGTGCATTATCCTGCTGGAAGTAGCCATCAGAGGATGGGTACATGGTGGCCATAAAGGGATGGACATGGTCAGAAACAATACTCAGGTAGGCTGTGGCATTTAAACGATGCCCAATTGGCACTAAGGGGCCTAAAGTGTGCCAAGAAAACATCCCCCACACCATTACACCACTACCACCAGCCTGCACAGTGGTAACAAGGCATGATGGATCCATGTTCTCATTCTGTTTACGCTAAATTCTGACTCTACCATCTGAATGTCTCAACAGAAATCGAGACTCATCAGACCAGGCAACATTTTTCCAGTCTTCAACTGTCCAATTTTGGTGAGCTCTTGCCAATTGTAGCCTCTTTTTCCTATTTGTAGTGGAGATGAGTGGTACCCGGTGGGGTCTTCTGTTGTTGTAGCCCATCCGCCTCAAGCTTGTGCGTGTTGTGGCTTCACAAATGCTTTGCTGGATACCTCGGTTGTAATGAGTGGTTATTTCAGTCAAAGTTGCTCTTCTATAAGCTCTAGATAGAGCTGATAGAAACATCGACAAGGCATTTTCGCCCACAGGACTGCCGCATACTGGATGTTTTTCCCTTTCACACCATTCTTTGTAAACCCTAGAAATGGTTGTGCGTGAAAATCCCAGTAACTGAGCAGATTGTGAAATACTCAGACCGGCCCGTCTGGCACCAACAACCATGCCACACTCAAAATTGCTTAAATCACCTTTCTTTCCCATTCTGACATTCAGTTTGGAGTTCAGGAGATTGTCTTGACCAGGACCACACCCCTAAATGCATTGAAGCAACTGCCATGTGATTGGTTGATTAGATAATTGCATTAATGACAAATTGAACAGGTGTTCCTAATAATCCTTTAGGTGAGTGTATATAAATACACACATATACATGTATATATTTAAGATGTGTTATTTATATATAAAATATTTAGATTTAGATTTATTATAAATTATGTATAAATATATACAGTATATACATGCAAATATTTCTTAAATATATACATGCATATGTGTGTATTTATATATACAAAATAATTATACACAGTACACACACATATATTATGTAAACACAAACTTTTATTTTGGATGCGCTTAATCGCAATTAATCGTTGCCCAGCACAATTTCTTTTTTGCTATGCAGTCAGAAGACTTACTGACTCGCTGGTCAGAACCACATGATAAAAGGTAATTACACCGTTACACACTAACTTTATTAGTTTGACATTAACATAAATAGAAAAAACACATCCAGCAAAGACATCCAAAGAAAAGCAGGCTCACAGAATCGCCCGTAACGAGACAAAAATGTTATCAGAGCATTTCAGTGGTGCATGGATGAATGTGGCAGAGTGACGTGTCCTTGTGAAAGCCTCATCTGTTGTCCTCAGATTCATTTTGATGGTTGGAGCCACTTGTATGACGAGTGGATGGACTCAGACCATCCAGACGTCCACCCTGCTGGCTGGTGTGAAGGCACAGGACACCCCCTCAAACCTCCACCCTGCCAACCCATCACCCAGAAACCTGGTGAGATTCCTCCAGATCAATCTCTTTCCTCATTCATCTGATTCGTATGTGCTCATGTACCAAATACTCTGTCAATTCAGAGTAATATGTTTCTTTTAGGTCCCAGGGAGACCCTGACAGCCCGACAGCCCAACTTCTCCTTGTCCTATAAAAGTCTGCCTCAGCCACGCAACCCCTCCAAATACAGCTTCCACCACAGGTCATTCCTTCATGAGCCCTTACAGTGCAAAATACTCAAACTGTCAGTTTGTGTTTTGTCTTCTGATTAAAGGAGTAGTTCACTTCATGTTCATGTCTTTCTTTCTTCAGGCGAAAAGAAATTAAGGTTTTTGAGGAAAACATTCCAGGATTTTTCTCCATATAGTGACTTCAATGGGGTCCAACGGGTTGAAGGTCTAAATGTCAGTTTCAGTGCAGCTTGAAAGGCTCTACACGATCCCAGCCGAGGAATAAGAGTCTTATCTAGTGAAACCATCCGCCATTTTCTGTAAAAAAAAAACATTTCTATACTTTTTATCGTCTTGCATGTCCACGACTTCACGCATTACGTAATCACATTGAATGGTCAGGTGTGTTCCGGTTAAAAAATGTAGGGTAGGGCGAATCTCATTTTCTCCTCCAACTTCAAAATCGTCCAACATCGTTGTTTTACCTTTTATTTTTTTGTAGAGGGCGTTTGACTTAGTCTTTGCACGTTGGCTTTGTAAACACTAGGCTGGTACTTCCGCGTGACCTTTCAACATAATTATGTAATGTGTGGACCATCACAGAGCTAGTGCAAGATGAGCATTTGTGGTTAAAAAGTATATATATATATATATATATATATATATTTTTTTTTTTTTAAATGTGCGATGGTTTCACTAGATAAGACTCTTATTCCTCGGCTGGGATCGTGTAGAGCCTTTGAAGCTTCACTGAAACTCACATTTGGACCCTCAACCCGTTGGACCCCATTGAAGTCACTATATGGAGAAAATCCTGGAATGTTTTCCTCAAAAACCTTAATTTCTTTTCGACTGAAGAAAGAAAGACATGAATATCTTGGATGACCTGGGGAGAGTAAATTATCAGGAAATTTTAATTCTGAAGTGAACTACTCCTTTAAATTGTCTTGCAGTTGAGGGACAGTTTAAAAAATAATGACTGCAGAATTGAGAACAGACCCGTTCTTTGTCAAACAGAAAGTGCCCTACTCCGGGATGTGACGGGTCAGGTCATGTGACCGGGCGTTTTACGGCGCATCACTGTTTATCTGGCTGTCCGTTGGCTGAGAGGAACCAGGGCCGACTCAAGGCGGATCTCTCTGATACAGAAGGATCCAGGCGTAACCTGCTGGTCTTCGGCCAGAGAGCAAAAAAGTCACGATATCACGGCAGGCAAGACGATATTCACTTTTGTTGTGTTAATCAAGTATATCACTGCAAAAAAATGCCTTTCTTACTTAGTATTGTAACGAAGTTAAAGCTCAGGGAAGAAGGAGGCGGGAACCGGCGAACGTTCAACGGAACTTTAATATCAAAATAAACAAACAACAAAACCAAAGTAAAGCAGCAGCCCCTCAAAGACGACTGCCGCACAGAAACATAATAAAAGCACAACATAAATAGTCCAGACCTGGTCCTCTCTCTTCCTTCACTGTCATCACTCCTCCTTTGATCATTATGAGCTCCTCCGTGAGACTCGCTCCGTTCCCACGGCTCTCGGCCCCGCCCTGCTTTCCACAAGTATTTTTGTCTTGTTTCCAGTCCAAATATGTAAAAGTAAATAAGTAAAATGACAAGATATTATGACTTGTTTTCTAAAAAAAAATTATAATAATAATTAAGTGAGTTTCTGCTTAAAACAAGAAAACTTATCTGACAATGGGGTAAGAAAAATAATCTTAATTCAAACGGAAATACGTTTTTTTTTTTGGTACCCTATTGGGCGATAATTTTGCTTGTTTTCACTTTTTTTCAGAAAACAAGACATAATATCTATAGAATTTTTAGATATTTGGACTGGAAACAAGACAAACATACTAAGTAAGAAAAAAAATTTTGCAGTGAATTGCATATTTGTAAAATTAACAATATTGCAGTTATGTAAACATTAAATTAATAGTCACCTTTCTTTGCTGTCCGCAGGATCGGTCGCCCCCCTAAATATCGTAAAAGTCAGCAAAGAAATTGTCAGAGTGAGTTTTACTTTCCTACATTTTCTATATTTGAAAGTTGAAAATTTTTATCAGTTACTGTGTTTAAATGCACAAGTATATTTTTAATAATAGTACTCATATTCCGATAATGTGTGTTCACAATATTGCCAAAAGTATTGGGACACCCCTCCAAATCATTGAATCCAGGTGTTCCAATCACTTCCATGGCCACAGTTGTATAAAATCAAGCACAGAGGCATGCACATGCTTCTACAAACATTTGTGAAAGAATGTGTCGCTCTCAGGAGCTCAGTGAATTCAAGTGTGGTACCGGGATAGGTTGCCACCTGTGCAAGAAGTCCATTCGTGAAATTTCCTCACTAATAAATATTCCACGGTCAACTGTTAGTGGTAATATAACAATGGAAGCAATTGGGAACAACAGCAACTCCGCCACGAAGTGGCAGGCCACGTAAAATCACAGAGCGGGGTCAGCACATGTTAAAGCGCACAGTCCGCAGAAGACGCCAACTTTCTGCAGAATCAATAGCTACAGACCTCTAAACTTCGTATGGCCTTCAGATTAACTCAAGAACAGTGCGTAGAGCTTCATGGAATGGGTTTCCATGGCCGAGCAGCTGCAGCCAAGCCTTACATCACCAAGTGCAATGCAAAGTGGTGTATGCAGTAGGATGCAGTGGTGTAAAGCGCTGTAAAGCGTGGGATGCAGTGGTGTAAAGTGTGGGATGCAGTGGTGTAAAGCATGGGATGCAGTTGTGTAAAGCGTGGGAGAAGTGGGATGCAGTGGTGTAAAGCGTGGGAGCAGTGGGATGCAGTTGTGTAAAGCGTGGGAGCAGTGGTGTAAAGCGTGGAATGCAGTAGGATGCAGTGGTGTAAAGCATGGAATGCATGCAGTGGTGTAAAGCGTGGGATGCAGTGGTGTAAAGTGTGGAATGCAGTGGTGTAAAGCGTGGGGTGCAGTGGTGTAAAGCGTGGGATACAGTGGTTTAAAGTGTGGGATGCAGTGGTGTAAAGCATCGGATACAGTGGTGTAAAGCGTGGGATGCAGTGGTGTAAAGCGTCGGATGCAGTGGTGTAAAGCATGGGATGCAGTGGTGTAAAGCGCGGGATGCAGTGGTGTAAAGCGTGGGATGCAGTGGTGTAAAGCGTGGGATGCAGTGGTGTAAAGCGTGGGATGCAGTGGTGTAAAGCGTGGGATGCAGGGGTGTAAAGCGTAGGATGCAGTGGTGTAAAGTGTGGGATGCAGGGGTGTAAAGCGTAGGATGCAGTGGTGTAAAGTGTGGGATGTAGGGGTGTAAAGTGTAGGATGCAGGGGTGTAAAGCGTAGGATGCGGTGGAGTAAAGCGTGGGGGGAAGTGGTGTAAAGCGTGGGGTGCAGTGGAGTAAAGCGTGGGGTGCAGTGGAGTAAAGCGTGGGATGCAGTGGTGTAAAGCGTGGGATGCAGTGGTGTAAAGCGTGGGGGCAGTGGTGTAAAGTGTGGGATGCAGTGGTGTAAAATGTGGGATGCAGTGGTGTAAAGCGTGGGATGCAGTGGAGTAAAGCGTGGGATGCAGTGGAGTAAAGCGTGGGGGCAGTGGTGCAAAGCGTGGGGTGCAGTGGAGTAAAGCGTGGGATGCAGTGGAGTAAAGCGTGGGATGCAGTGGAGTAAAGAGTGGGATGCAGTGGTGTAAAGTGTGGGATGCAGTGGTGTAAAATGTGGGATGCAGTGGTGTAAAGCGTGGGATGCAGTGGAGTAAAGCGTGGGATGCAGTGATGTAAAGCGTGGGATGCAGTGGTGTAAAGCGTGGGGTGCAGTGGTGTAAAGCGTGGGGTGCAGTGGTGTAAAGCATGGGATGCAGTGGAGTAAAGCGTGGGATGCAGTGATGTAAACCGTGGGATGCAGTGGTGTAAAGCATGGGATGCAGAGGTGTAAAGCGTCGGATGCAGTGGTGTAAACCGTAGGATGCAGTGGTGTGAAGCGTGGGATGCAGTGGTGTAAAGCGTGGGATGCAGTGATGTAAAGTGTGGGATGCAGTGGTATAAAGCATGGGATGCAGTTGTGTAAAGCGTGGGAGCAGTGGGATGCAGTGGTGTAAAGCGTGGGAGCAGTGGGATGCAGTTGTGTAAAGCGTGGGAGCAGTGGTGTAAAGCGTGGAATCCAGTGGGATGCAGTGGTGTAAAGGGTGGAATGCATGCAGTGGTGTAAAGCGTGGAATGCGTAAAGCGTGGGATGCAGTGGTGTAAAGCGTGGAATGCAGTGGTGTAAAGCGTGGGATGCAGTGGTGTAAAGCGTGGGATGCAGTGGAGTAAAGAGTGGGATGCAGTGGTGTAAAGTGTAGGATGCAGTGATGTAAAATGTGGGATGCAGTGGTGTAAAGCGTGGGATGCAGTGGTGTAAAGCGTGGGATGCAGTGGAGTAAAGCGTGGGATGCAGTGATGTAAAGCGTGGGATGCAGTGGTGTAAAGCGTGGGATGCAGTGGTGTAAAGCGTGGGGTGCAGTGGTGTAAAGCGTGGGGTGCAGTGGTGTAAAGCGTGGGATGCAGTGATGTAAAGCGTGGGATGCAGTGATGTAAAGCGTGGGATGCAGTGGTGTAAAGCGTGGGGTGCAGTGGTGTAAAGCGTGGGGTGCAGTGGTGTAAAGCGTGGGATGCAGTGGAGTAAAGCGTGGGATGCAGTGGTGTAAAGCATGGGATGCAGAGGTGTAAAGCGTCGGATGCAGTGGTGTAAACCGTGGGATGCAGTGGTATAAAGCAGGGGATGCAATGGTGTAAAGCGTGGAATGCAGTGGTGTAAAGCGTGGGATGCAGTGGTGTAAAGCGTGGGATGCAGTGGAGTAAAGTGTGGGATGCAGTGATGTAAAATGTGGGATGCAGTGGTGTAAAGCGTGGGATGCAGTGGTGTAAAGCGTGGGATGCAGTGGAGTAAAGCGTGGGATGCAGTGATGTAAAGCGTGGGATGCAGTGGTGTAAAGCGTGGGGTGCAGTGGTGTAAAGCGTGGGTTGCAGTGGTGTAAAGCGTGGGATGCAGGGGAGTAAAGCGTGGGATGCAGTGATGTAAACCGTGGGATGCAGTGGTGTAAAGCAAGGGATGCAGAGGTGTAAAGCGTCGGATGCAGTGGTGTAAACCGTGGGATGCAGTGGTGTAAAGCGTGGGATGCAGTGATGTAAACCGTGGGATGCAATGGTGTAAAGCGTCGGATGCAGTGGTGTAAAGTGTGGGATGCAGTGGTGTAAAGCGCTGTAGAGCGTGGGATGCAGTGGTGTAAAGCGTGGGGTGCAGTGGTGTAGAGCGTGGGATGCAGTGGTGTAAAGCGTGGGATGCAGTGGTGTAAAGCGTGGGATGCAGTGGTGTAAAGCGTGGGATGCAGTGGAGTAAAGCGCTGTAGAGCGTGGGATGCAGTGGTGTAAAGCGTGGGATGCAGTGGTGTAAAGCGTGGGATGCAGTGGAGTAAAGCGTGGGATGCAGTGGAGTAAAGCGTGGGATGCAGTAATGTAAAGCGTGGGGTGCAGTGGTGTAAAGCGTGGGGTGCAGTGGTGTAAAGCGTGGGATGCAGTGATTTAAACCGTGGGATGCAGTGGTGTAAAGCGTCGGATGCAGTGATTTAAACCGTGGGATGCAGTGGTGTAAAGCGTGGGGTGCAGTGGTGTATAGCGTGGGGTGCAGTGGTGTAAAGCGTCGGATGCAGTGGCGTAAAGCGTGGGATGCAGTGGTGTAAAGCGCTGTAGAGCGTGGGATGCAGTGGTGTAAAGCGTGGGGTGCAGTGGTGTAGAGCGTGGGATGCAGTGGTGTAAAGCGTGGGATGCAGTGGTGTAAAGCGTGGGATGCAGTGGTGTAAAGCGTGGGATGCAGTGGAGTAAAGCGCTGTAGAGCGTGGGATGCAGTGGAGTAAAGCGTGGGGGGAAGTGGTGTAAAGCGTGGGGTGCAGTGGAGTAAAGCGTGGGGTGCAGTGGAGTAAAGCGTGGGATGCAGTGGTGTAAAGCGTGGGATGCAGTGGTGTAAAGCGTGGGGGCAGTGGTGTAAAGTGTGGGATGCAGTGGTGTAAAATGTGGGATGCAGTGGTGTAAAGCGTAGGATGCAGTGGTGTAAAGCGTGGGATGCAGTGGAGTAAAGTGTGGGATGCAGTGGAGTAAAGCGTGGGGGCAGTGGTGCAAAGCGTGGGGTGCAGTGGAGTAAAGCGTGGGATGCAGTGGAGTAAAGCGTGGGATGCAGTGGTGCAAAGCGTGGGATGCAGTGGAGTAAAGAGTGGGATGCAGTGGTGTAAAGTGTGGGATGCAGTGGTGTAAAATATGGGATGCAGTGGTGTAAAGCGTGGGATGCAGTGGAGTAAAGCGTGGGATGCAGTGATGTAAAGCGTGGGATGCAGTGGTGTAAAGCGTGGGGTGCAGTGGTGTAAAGCGTGGGGTGCAGTGGTGTAAAGCATGGGATGCAGTGGAGTAAAGCGTGGGATGCAGTGATGTAAACCGTGGGATGCAGTGGTGTAAAGCATGGGATGCAGAGGTGTAAAGCGTCGGATGCAGTGGTGTAAACCGTGGGATGCAGTGGTGTAAAGCGTGGGATGCAGTGGTGTAAAGCGTGGGATGCAGTGATGTAAAGTGTGGGATGCAGTGGTATAAAGCATGGGATGCAGTTGTGTAAAGCGTGGGAGCAGTGGGATGCAGTGGTGTAAAGCGTGGGAGCAGTGGGATGCAGTTGTGTAAAGCGTGGGAGCAGTGGTGTAAAGCGTGGAATCCAGTGGGATGCAGTGGTGTAAAGGGTGGAATGCATGCAGTGGTGTAAAGCGTGGAATGCGTAAAGCGTGGGATGCAGTGGTGTAAAGCGTGGAATGCAGTGGTGTAAAGCGTGGGATGCAGTGGTGTAAAGCGTGGGATGCAGTGGAGTAAAGAGTGGGATGCAGTGGTGTAAAGTGTGGGATGCAGTGATGTAAAATGTGGGATGCAGTGGTGTAAAGCGTGGGATGCAGTGGTGTAAAGCGTGGGATGCAGTGGAGTAAAGCGTGGGATGCAGTGATGTAAAGCGTGGGATGCAGTGGTGTAAAGCG